ATCGGCAGAGCCGATGGAAATCGGAACAGCAGCGCGCGCGCAGGTTTCAAAGCCCAGTGAGGGGGCAAGAAGGAGGGAAAAGGCGCCCGGAAATGCTATCTCTGCCAACAGCCAGGTCACTTTGCCAGAGTCTGCCCCCAGAGGAAAGAATGGCAAGGGATGGTAGGAGCTGTGGATGGAAGAGAGGAAAATATACCGGAGCAAGTAAAAGCCAACGCCTGGCTGCCACTGTCAGGGCACAGCAGCCAGGCCAAAGAGCAGTGAGAGTGCCCACGCCAGAACCTCCTAAACCCGCCCTAGTGATAGAAGTGACGCTAGAGCTGCCAAACGGACACCCTCTAAAGATAAAGGCGCTGTTGGACTCAGGCAGCTCCTGCAATTTCATGAGCAAGGAGTTTGCAGCTGAACACCAGATACAGACAATCCCTTTAAGCAGCCCCCTGCAGGTGACCACGATCGATGGCAGGGAGCTGTTGGGTGGAGAAGTCAGCTTGCAGACCGTCCCAATGATAATGAAGGTAGCAAGGCACACCGAACTGATAGCTTTTAATGTGGCCACCTTGGGAGGAGCTCCCATTATATTGGGGATGAGCTGGCTAGCGTTACATGATCCGCTGGTGGGCTGGCATCAGAGAGTGGTTTCTTTTGGTTCAGCACATTGCTTAGAACACTGCAAAGAGGGAAAGGGTTTGGCAGGGGTCCAAGCCACCCTAGCAGGGACTGAAGTAACAGAGAACGTGAAGGTACCACGACAATATGCAGATCTCCGTGACGTCTTCAGCGAAAGGGAGCTGACCAACTACCCCCGCATAGACCCTTTGACTGTCAAATCAACTTACTCCCTGGAGCACAGCTCCCTGTAGGCAAGCTGTACGCCATGTCAGACAGAGAGATGCAGGAGTTAAGAGAGTTCATTGACAAGAACCTGAAGAGAGGGTTCATCAGAGAGTCCAGGGCGGTGGGGGCAGCCCAGTGTTTTTGTGGATAAGAAAAACACGAACAAGCCGAGGCTGGTGTGTGACTTCAGGGCCTTAAATGCAGTGTCAGAACCAGTAGCCTTCCCTATGCCCAGGATTGACGACATTTTGACAAGGGTGCGGAAGGGAAAGATTTTCACAAAGCTGGACCTAAGGGGGGCGTACAACCTGGTAAGAATAAGGAAGGGGGATGAATGGAAAACCACTATGTTCACCCCTTTAGGGGCATTTGAATATTTGGTTATGCCCTTCGGCCTACAAGCAGGCTCCGCAACATTTCAATCGTTTATGAACCACGTCCTGGGGCCTTTGCTTTACAAGAATTGTGTGGCCTTTTTAGACGACGTGTTGGTGTATTCTGAGAATGAGGAGCAGCATGTGAGAGACGTCAGAGAAGTGTTGAGCAGGCTGCAAGCCAACCAGCTGTGGGTGAAACTGGAGAAGTGTCAGTTTCATACCAAGGAGGTGGAATTCCTGGGGTATCGCCTGTCAGACAAGGGATTGGCCATGGATCCCGGCAAGGTCCAGGCGGTACTGGAATGGAAAACACCCAAAACAAAGAAGGATGTGCAGAGGTTCCTAGGATTTGGGAACTTCTATCGTAAGTTCATCCGAAACTTTGCCCACCTGACGGCGCCCATTACGGACTGTCTCAGCAGTAAGAAGAAGTTCGTGTGGACTGAGGAGGCGGAGCGAGCATTTGAGGAACTAAAAGGGCCTTCGCCTCGGAACAACAACTCCTGCATGTGGATTTACAAAAACCGATGAGAGTGGAAACTGACGCATCAGACAGAGCGATTGGGGCGGTGCTTCTGCAGCCAGGCAAGAAGGGGTCAGAGTGGAGACCGTGTGCCTTTTTTCGCGAAAGCTGAACAAATCCGAGAGGAACTACACGGTGTATGACCGAGAACTACTAGCCATTCATGAGGCGTTCCGGAGATGGAGGCACCTGCTAATTGGCGCACAACATAAGGTGCAAGTGTGCACTGACCACAAGAACCTAGAGTATTGGAGGACGGCACGAGTGCTCAACCAACGGCAAGTGAGATGGGCCCAGGAGTTCTCCAAATTTAACTTTGAGATTAGTTACGTGCCAGGCCCAGAGAACATTAGGGCGGACGCTCTCTCACGCAAACCTGAATATTTGGAGGGAGGGGGCACCCGAAGAGAGACATGTCATTCCAGAAGACCGCTGGGTGTGTGGGGCGGCATTGGTGGGACAAAGAGAACTGGTAGAGGAAACAGAGAATGATGAATACGCCCAGAATAAGCTCAGAGGTCTTAGGGGTGATGGAGAGGAACCAGGGGTTTCGAGGAAAGAAATGGAGCTTTGTATTACAAAGGGGCACTGTATATCCCTGAAGGAGAGTTAAGGGGAGGGTACTCAAGCAGTTGCACGACAGCCCTACGGCGGGGCATTTTGGACAACACAAAACCATGTGGTTGGTCACCAGGGAATTTTGGTGGCCTAAGGTGAGGGAAGATGTACGTGAGTATGTAAGAGGGTGCGAGCAATGCCAGCGAGCCAAAGGGGAAAGGCGGGCGCCGGCGGGCTGTTAGAACCCTTACCAACCCCAGAACGACCTTGGGAGGCAGTGTCGATAGATTTTATGACTGATCTGCCGAAGTCCAAAGGGAAAACAGCCATCATGGTGGTGGTAGACCTACTAACAAAGATGTGCCACTTTGTAGCTTGCTCGCATGCAGTCACGGCGGAAGAGACAGCGAAGTTATTTGTAGAAAACATTTTTAGGTTGCACGGGGTGCCATTGAGGGTGGTCTCAGACCGAGGAAAACAATTTACTTCCAGGTTCTGGAGGAAGCTCATGAGCTTACTGCAGGTGGAGGTCAATTTTTCGACTGCCCGGCACCCTGAAACCAACGGGCAGGCGGAAAGAGCAAACGGTGTCCTCCAGCAATACCTGAGGTGTTATGTCAATGACAGAGAGAATGACTGGGTAGAAAAGTTGGCGCTGGCGGAATTTGCCTACAACAATGCCGAGAATGTGTCCACAGGGATGAGCCCCTTCTTGGCTAATTATGGGTGTCATCCCAGGGCTTTCCCAGGGGAGAGGGGGAGAGATGGAGCGTCCCGGCAGCCGAGCATTTTGTGGAAGAAATGGAAGCAATCCATCGTCAGCTCCAACTCAACTTAGAAAGGGCGAAGGAAGAATACAAGAGGCAGGCAGACAAGAACCGAAGGGAAGGTGAAACCATAAGGGTGGGGGATAGGGTGTGGCTGTCAACCCAAGGGTTGCCGTTCAAAGGAGGTTGTAAGAAATTAAGACCCAGGAGGTTGGGTCCCTTTGAGGTCATTCAACAGGTCAACCCAGTGGCTTTCAGGCTCCGGTTACCCAACCACATGAAACTGCACCCAGTATTTCACAGGTCGTTACTGTCACCGTACGAAGGGGGACGAGAAGGGCTGGCCACTCGGGGACCGGTCGTAGAAGAAAGAGAATGCAGCAGCCATGTGGCAGAAATCCTCGACGCCAGGTGGAAGGGGGATCAGGTGGAGTATTTGGTAGCGTGGGAAGGAGAACCGGAGTCAGAAAACACTTGGGTAATGGCTGAAGATATCAATGACGAGGTATTGATAGAAACGTTCCATCAAAGGTTCCCAAGGAAACCTCAGCCTGTGGAGAGGTTCCGGAGGGAATACTTTGGGACCACTGATGAAGGGGAGGAGTTGGAAGGATTCCCGGACTCGGAAGGGGAAGGGGAGATGGACTCTGAGGAGGAGGTGTACTTCGAGACCAGGAACCGCAACAGGTTGAGAGAAGTGTTCGAGACATCGGAAGATGAAGGAAGTTCATTCCGGGTTTTGCCTCCTCACCGCCCGTAGAGGAGGGGCGAGAGGGGGTGAAGGGGGCCCTGGAGGGGAGGTGGATGTCAGGGAACTGCCATCGGACGGAAGGGAGGTGAAAGGGCTCACACAGGTTGGGAGAGACGCAGCAGCTGAAGAGGGAACCAACAGGGAGGTGAAAGGGCTCACACAGGTTGGGAGAGACGCAGCAGCTGAAGAGGGAACCAGCAGGGGGAGAGGAGCTGAGCTGGAGGGATGGCTCAGAGACACTTCCAGCGAAAACAGTGGGGAGGTTTCAGGAACTCCTGTAAGAACACCCACTCCTCGCCGGAAACTGTCACGCAGAGATTCCAGAAGACGTGTTTCCGTTAAGGAGCTTTTATGTTGGAAGCGATACGAAAGCAACCACTGTCGGAATCTGCTAGTGACTAGAGTAGCCATGTCTGAGGGGCTCCGTCACAGACAGAGGTTTGTGGACTTGAACAAACTCTGAGGGGATACGATTTTACGCACAAGCAGCTCATCATCCCATCACAGATTCTCTTCCATGTACCCCAATAGAATTCTTAGGCCACATTCACACTATACATTTAAAGCCCTATGATACCATTTTAAACAGTCACTGCTTTCCCCAGAGAATCCTGGGAGCTGTACTTGCTAAGGGTGCTGAGAGTTGTTAGGAGACCCCTATTCCCCTCACAGAGCTACAGTTCAACGAGTTGCCTGTGAAGAGGGATTGAGTGTTATGCCACTCTGGGAACTGCAGCTCTGGGAGGGGAATAGGGGTCTGCTAACAGTACCCGTAACAAAGAAAGAAAGAAAGAAAGAAAGAAAGAAAGAAACTCCCAGGATTTTTTGGGTGGTGATGGGAAGCTATAATATTTAAAGTGGTAACATAGTGCATTAAATGTATGGTGTGAATGTGGCATTATAGAATCTAATTTAATTATACCTGCGGGTGGCACTGTGGTCTAAACCACTGAGCCTCTTGGGCCTGCTGATCAGAAGGTTGGCAGTTTGAATCCCCATGAGGGGATGAGCTCCTGTTGCTCGGTCCCAGCTCCTTTTTTAATTGTCTGATCTGTTTACATTCAGGACTTCCCTGTCTGGCTAAAGGAAAGTGCTGATAGAGTTGAATGGGAATGAGGAGACCTTCCTCTGTGAAATCTGATTCTGTGCCTCTCTTGACCCAAACCTTCTTCGCTTTCATCCCAGCCATGGAGAACAGCAGCAGCAAATTTGACAGTCCCACCAACATATCCCTGGTAGGCAGCGATAGTCCACTGGATGTTCTCGAATACAAGGTAATCTCTGTCTTCCTGGTGATGGGCATCTGCGGAGTTGGCATCATCGGCAACGTCATGGTGGTGCTGGTGGTCCTCACCACCCGTGAGATGAGGACTCCCACCAACTGCTACTTGGTTAGCCTGGCTGTGGCTGATTTGATGGTTCTGGTGGCTGCTGGCCTGCCCAACATCTCTGACAGCCTGGCAGGAACATGGATCTATGGATTTGCTGGGTGTCTTGGCATCACCTTCTTTCAGTACTTGGGCATCAATGCATCATCCTGCTCCATCACTGCCTTCACTGTGGAAAGGTAAGAAAAGATTCTTAGGAGTAGCTCCGTTCTACTAGACCAGAGGTATCCAATGTGTTGCCCTCGAGATGGTGTTGGACTCCAACTCCCACCAGCCCCAGCCAGCATGGCCAATGGCCAGGAATGATGGGAGTTGTAGTCTAGCAACATCTGGAAAACCACAAGTTCCACATCCCCAATTTAGACCTTAGAGCAGGGATATCCATCTGTTTTATTTCTATCTTAAATTTATATGCCGCTCTTTGTCAAAGGACCGCAGAGTGGTTAACAACACAGAATTAAACAGTGCACCCAGATAAACCTTAAACAGCAGCAGCCTAAAAAGTAAGGGAGGAGGAAATCAGTCTAAGATGCAAAAACAATGCACAAGTACACAATCTTCTCTCTATATAAAAGTAGCTCTTGATCCCCACCCTCAGAGAAAATGACAGCCCCTCCCAGGTATCACCTGGGAGCTTTTCTTTCTCTCCCAGTCTCTCCCCCAGGAGATCTTCATATCCCTGCCCATCATTCAGGGTATTTCCATCCTCATTCTGCCACTTCATACAGATGTGGTCCTTGGCCCCCAGTGGCATCCCAGTGGCATTGGACCATCACTGGGCAGCCTGCTGCCTACTGCCTGACCAGCTTCTCTCTCCATCTTGAAACATGCCCTTTGGGTGGGTCTGATTTGCCTGTTTCTATGCAGTGGCAATTAATTAACATTACCCCAAATCAGTGTTAAACAATAAGTGGCATCCCATGTAGGGCAAGTGTGTGTGGCTTAGTCAAAGCAACCTGGCAAGTTGAATGGGGAGGCCAGGTGGGCCCCTGAGGCCCATGGCTTAGAGGTTCCCCACTGCTGTTTCAGCACAGTGTTATGTCTTTACTCACATATAACTTCCTCCTTTTCATCTCTGCCAGGTACATTGCTATCTGCCACCCAATGAAAGCGCAGGCAATGTGCACAGTGTCACGGGCCAAGCGCATCATCACCTTTGTCTGGATCCTCACCTCAGTGTACTGCACCCTGTGGTTCTTCCTGGTGGACATTGCTGTCAACAAAAGCCAGCAGCTGGAGTGCGGCTACAAGGTCTCCCGCAACCTCTACCTGCCCATCTACCTCCTCGACTTCGCCCTCTTCTTTGTCACCCCTTTGCTCCTCTCCACAGTGCTCTATGGTCTCATTGGGAGGGTCCTCTTCCGCAGCCCCATCCCACACCAGCCCACTGCCTGCACCCAACGCTGGCAAGACCAGAGTTGCAAAGTAAGGATCGGCAAAGAGAGGAATGGCACAGAGGCCAGCCGGAGCAAGGCCAGTGGTTCAAGAACCAGGGTGCCCGTCTCCTCCAGGAAGCAGGTAACGCAGAGCCCTCTGGAGATTGCCAGGTGCTGCCAAGTTCAGGCCAATGGGCAGGCAGGTTCAGCCTCGGGGGGGGGGGGGGGCTGGAGAGAACAGTGTCATGCTGGCAAGAGGTCCAAAAGCGCAGCAGTGTATTCTATGACTGACACAATTATAGTGTGTTAGTGGCGGATTTGTTCTGGACTGTCCACACATCATTTCACTGTCTTATTTGTTCTGTGATGCTCCCCCAGTGTTATTGACTGATGGATTAAATATATTTATATCCTGCCTTTCTCCCAAGATGGGATTGAAGGCAGCTTACATTTAAAATATTGATTATAAAACAGAAAAATAAAAACAAACTAGTTAAAAACAAAAATTAAAACCCTTTTAAACTGAGGATCTTTGCATCCAGATAGGTTCATATAGGGAGATACATTACTTCATTATTGCCATCTACTGTAAAAGGGCATATTTGCATGACAGCACAACAGAAGTGGGACAAGTAAAATAAACTGGAACGTTTATAAGATAAGAAGGTAGAGGGTTTCAAAGGAAGGTTATGGGGCTTGCACAGACTGGAAACCAAGCAGTATGTCTGGCACAAAGCTTTTGCAGGTGGAAAGAGGATTGAAAGTGGAATTGCATGTGACCACCCCAATACTATCATGAGCACAAATCATGATGAATGTGCAATAAAGGGGGGGGGGTTTGGAGGGACCCATAGATAGCCTTGCAAGCCTAAAGTCTGCCCGGCCCTGATCTTTGGTGAGGTAGGGATATAGAAGTGCAGGAAGCTGTCATGCAAAATACACCCGCTGAAATCACCTTTTTAACCCGTCTATTAAAGATGCAGGGGGGGGGGCTGTGCTCCCATCCTCCCTGATTTAGCAGCTCTAATCTGTGGATAGACCCAGCATCTAGATTACATCTTTCCACCCACTGCTGTAGCCTCCAATTGTTTCCCTGGCTTATTTTACCTCCCCTCTCAGTTCTTAATTAATACCAATGCTCTGATTAATGTTAATATTTATAAAGCACACCTTCAGAGAAAATGTAACAAGGTGTTGTACAGCATAAAACCATGATACAAAAGTAGCAATAGTAAAAACATCAATAACTTATCAATAAAAAAGAGTTGATTTTAAAAACCACACAACCCAGCACATTCCAAAACCCTGTCCCAATGATGCAGTTTTTAAAACATGTCCGAAAGAAAGCAGAATTGACTTTTGGTCAGGATTGGCTGACCAGAACTCAGGGACACAGTGGGCCACCAAACGTGTCTCATCGGAAGATGTTGGTGGCCTATATGGAGCATAAGGAATCAGGATGTGCTTCTGGGCATGTGCAGAATGCATTTGCTTCCCCAACTAACAAACAAATAAATCCCAAGCTGAGCAGAAGGGACGAAGGGTTTCTAAATAGTAACGTGAATTTCCAAGCAGATCCAAGTCCTTTTTAAAGAATCACTCATATGATGTGTCACCTTCCCTTTGCCAACATTTGTCTTGTTTGGCATGCCAACACGTTGGTTTTGCATGGAATTGAATTATCACCACTGCCGTCTGCCAAGCAAGGAGCCAGAAGCATTCTCAGAGCCTTCATCAACATTGCACGGTGGCGATGGCTTTGACACTGTTTTGTTTTAATTCTTTGGAAAGAGTCCTGGTACGAAAAGGGCAGGCTGAAAAGAAAATTCTAAAGTGAAGCTGCACAATAGACGGTGCCGCTCCCACCCCGCAAATCCAGGGCTGATGGTGGCTTTGGGAAATGCTTCTCTTGTTCCTACTTGTTCGTTGGTGGATTTGTAAAACGGCTCAACATCCAGAGAAACACCGAGAAATAAAATATACATATAAAAAATACAGATCATAAACAATGAGAATTAAAAATGACAGAAATAAAGTCAGCTAATTTGGGAAGGCTTGGGAGAAAAGCTTTTGACAAACGTTGAACATGTCATGATGCTGGGGCTTGCTTCACTTTTGGAATGAGAGAATTCCAGAGAACTGGTGTCACGATGCTAAAAGCATGTGTTGGATTTAAAGCACTTTTATTCCACACTTGGAAATACAGTTGAAAAAGACTTCCAGATACCAGTGATAGGGCATCCCCTGCCCTTAAGAGACATAAGAAGAGCACTGCTGGATTGAGCCAATGACCCATTGAATCCAGCATCCTGTTCTCAAGGTGGCCAGGTAGATAGCTGTGGGAAGCCCTCAAGAACATGAGTGCAGCAGCACTCTCCTCTCCTTTGCTTTCCGGCAACCGGCATTCAGAAGCATTACTGCCTCCAGCTATGGAGGCAGAGCATAGCCCTAATGGCTAGCAGCCATCACTAGCCCTTGCCTCCATGAGTCTGCCCAATTCTCATTTAGAGCTGTCCAAATTGGTGGCCATCACTGTCTCCCATGGGAGCGAGTTCCATAGTTTAACTGTGCGCTGAATGAAAAAGTGCTTTCCTTTCTCTGTCCTGAATCTTCCAAAATTCAGCTTCATTGAATGGCTGTGTCTTCTAACGTTTCTCTATCAACTCCATGCCACAAAAAGAAGGGCTGAGAGGGAGAGGGGAAAAAACAAAGCTCTTTGCTGCAAAGCTCTTGTAATGACCAGCCGAAATGGAACATTTTGTAAAAGAGGAGCCAAAAGTTCTTAGTCTTCCAAGTGAGCCAGTGGAGAGACCTTGCAGTTCCATCTCTCCCTGTTTACACACAGGAAAGGAGTGCTCTAAGGTGGCAATGGTCGAATGGTGATGCAAGGGCTGCATTTGGGGCCAGGCACTAAGCAAATAAGAAACAGCCCTACTGACTTGGATTATTATTTTTTTTAACTGAATGCTTTGCAGCATGCTGCTTCCCACAGTAGCCAAAAGAGGCTTTCAGGATACCCTCCAGCAGAGGCACGAGAGGAAGAGCCATCTCCCTTGTTGTTGCTCCCCAGCAAATAGTATTGTGAGATAGACTGCCTCTGAAAAGAGAGGCTCCATCCAGATTTCATAGCAAATGGCCATACAGTGGATCTCTCCTTCTCTGTGAGTTTGTCCCATGCCCTTTTTATTTGCTCATATCTATTTATTAAAATTGATATACTGCTTAATTGCAAATAAATAAATCTGAAAGTGATTTACAAAAAGAATAAAACAATGAGATTATCAGTAAAAGGAACTATTTAAAACATTCAAAACTAATTAAAATCTATGATAAGCTAAAAATCAGTTTTATTCATGCATTTAAATTGAGCATTTAAAATCCAGGTGCAAGAGTCAAATTAAGTGTCAAGACTATCCTGAGACCACAATACACTTTGGTTATCTTGCAGTTATGCAGCACAAGTAAATCTGTATCACGTGCAAGGGAAGCACCACCATCTCCTTCAAACCTGAAGGACCTTCAAACCTATAGAGTCTCAGTACGGTTCAATTACTGCACAGATATCCATCATCTTCCAAATGCAGGTTGCTCTTAAATGCCCATTAAACATACAAGGTGACAGAAAATTTACTTTTGCTGCAAAAATCTTGTCAACACGAAGAAAATGTATGCAATATAAAAATGGCCTGTCTCATTCCTACACCTTTCTGGAACAGATCCTGGCAATATGTAGAATTGGTGTAGAATTTTCTGATCTATGACATCCCAAACAGGCAAGCAAATGGAAAAAGCAACTGAAAACCTGCAACTTGTTAAAGACATCCAAGCCACCTCTCTCTCTTTTTGGCTCCTCTGCAGGTGACCAAAATGCTGGCCGTGGTGGTGGTCCTCTTTGCCCTCCTCTGGATGCCCTACCGGACTCTGGTGCTGGTGAACTCCTTCATGGAGCGCCCCTACCTGAACCGCTGGTTCATCCTCTTCTGCAGAGTCTGCGTCTACGCCAACAGCGCCATCAACCCCATCATCTACAACCTCATGTCCCAGAAGTTCCGCCTGGCCTTCAAGAAGCTCTGCAAGTGCGGGAAGGTGGAGCAGCAGCCAAGGCACAGATTCTACGCAGCCTCCAGCATGAAGAAGGAACCTGACTCCCACCCGCATGGGGACATTAAGGCTAAGGGGCCACCGTCCCCAGGAGGAGGCGAAGAGGAGGACTTGCCTGCTTTGGAGCAGGTGCCTGCACCTGAGAAAGAGAAGGAGCCGTATTTCAGCGTGCTCTAAATGCCCCAGTTCCCCTTGCCTGGCTCCTTTCTCACTTCCCAGTAAAGGACTTGCTTTACTTCTCCTAGTAAACTAGATCTATAGGAAGGGAGGAAGCTGACTTAGACCAAGTCAAACCACTGGTTTATCCAGCTCAGAATTGCCTACACTGACTCAGTTTCTGCCTGGAGATGCCAGGGATTGAACCTTCTGCATGCAAAGCAAGTGATCTCACTGAGCCATGACACTTCCTTTAAATATAATAAGATCTCGTGGTTCTTGTTTAAATAGGAAGAGAGGAATTTGCCTTCTACTGAGTCAATCTGTCTCAGGATTGTCTTCACTGGCTGGCAGAGGCTGTCCAGGATTTCAGACTGGCGACATTCCCAGCCCTATGGGGAGATGCTGGGGAATGGGCCTGGGATCTTCTGCATGCCAAGCAGGTGAGCTATGGTAACTGCACTATAGGAAGTTGCCTTACTGAGTCAGACCCATGGCCCATCTAGCTCAGTCATGTCTATGCTGACTGACAGTGGCTCTTCAGGGCATGAGGCAGGGGGCTCTTCCAGACCTGCCTGGAAATGCCAGAATCGAGCCTGGGACCATCTGCAGGCAAAACTGGTGCCCTGAGCAACCCCCGAGCCAAATTTCAGGAGCCCAAATCACTGTTCACCCACCATTTTGAACAGAATTGTGTTTCTGACTCTGGGAAGGAGTTTGTCGGGGCTGGAGCCCTGCTACGAGTTCTGTACTCAGGACCTAAAGGATGCTGGGCCAGAATCAGGACTGTGTACCAGCTCCACCCCAGCTCCAAGGAAACGAGAGAGAGCTGCAAGGGGACAGACCACATCAGCCAAGGAAGCCTCCTGGCAGTGAGAGGCCAGGGCAAGCCAGCTGATGCTCCCGGACCCCTATAAAAAGCTGGCATCTTAAGCTTGTGCACAGGTCTGAGCTGAATACCTAGAGACAGTACATTTCCCCTTGCTACCCAGGTATGAGAGAGCTGCAAATGGGGGAAGAAGAAGGCACAAACCCCTCCTTGAAAAAGGTCACTCCATAGTCCACTGACCATGACTTGCTTTGGCCTCTTTGATATACGGGAGAGGGGGGGGAATGATAGATAGATAGATAGATAGATAGATAGATAGATAGATAGATGATAGATAGATGATAGATATTTCTCCTTTTTATTTGCCTTGCTGCTCCAGAAGCAAGGGACAAGGTGTGCTTAACTCTCTCTGCTCTCATCTCCCTCAAACTGGTACCCTCCAAAGGTTTGGGACTCCAGTTTCCATCAGTCCCTCTCAGCATAGCCAGTGGTCAGGGATGCCAGTGAGGTGTGGAGGACATCCCAGGTTGGGAAAAGCTGCTCTCAAGGCTGCAGACAGGTTGTGCTGGAATTATCTTGCTGGTCTTACAATGGGCAGAAACACAGTTGCATCACAGGCCTGAATTGTGATTCCTACATGGCAGGGGGTTAGGTTGGATGACCCTTTGGGGTTCCTACAATTCTATAAGTGCAAAGTCACCCAGAAGGTGCTCAGTTCAACAGGGACAAGCTGTCTGAAACAGCAGCATCTAAACCTTTGCAACTAAGCCTTTGAACTGATATGTACCCTTTTCCACCCACATCTAGGAATGAGTCAAGGGTGGCCTTTAAGAAAATGTTTTATGAGATATTTGGTGACTTGAATTGGGTAACTACTGGGCATAGCATTGCATGGCAACAGACACAGAATAAAATGTTACAAGGCTTCAGTGGTAGACTGTAGCATCCACTGGGGGCAGGGACAGGTGCCCTGGTGCCATCCACATGTTGCTGGACCACAATCCCCATCAGTCTCAGCAAAAGATGATGGGAATCGTAGTCCAACATCTGGACGACCTCACATTGGCTTTTCTGGATCAGGGGGAAGGTGTACACATGATGGTGGCAAAGTAGACTCTGGAAAGTAAATGCTATTGTGCAAGTTGCCAGTGACTCATTTCTGCTCACTTTGAGCTATGTGGCTAGGTTCCCTTGACACTGGAGCTGTCCAGTAGGACACAAGCAAAGGAACTAGCCAGCCAAGGACAGCCAGGCTTTATAGAGCTGCCCCAGCAGCTTGTGCAAACCTAGCTGGGGCAGCAGGTGTTTTCAATGCTGCTGTCTGTCCAGGGTCCTAGTCCCTGGATTGAAAATATGACCACCCTGGGACCTGCTGGTGAAGGGAGGGTAATAAAATTAAATATACAGTGGTACCTCGGGTTAAGTACTTAATCCGTTCTGGAGGTCCGTTCTTAACCTGAAACTGTTCTTAACCTGAAGCACCACTTTAGCTAATGGGGCCTCCTGCTGCCGCCGCGCCGCCGGAGCATTATTTCTGGGTTAGCGGAGTCTGTAACCTGAAGCATATGTAACTTGAAGCGTATGTAACCCGAGGTACCACTGTAATTAGAATGATGATAATGATAATGCAAACATGCCCAGGCTGGAAGTAGGGTGTGTGTGATGGGACAGGGAAGAAAGCACTGGCCCCACCTTATATAAACAGTCAAACCAACAGGTAGAGGATGAGCAGCAGCCTTATAATTGGAAAGCTCCACAGCCCATGAAACTTTGAAGCCCTTCATATAGCATGGGAGGAAAGCTAAACAAAATAGATAAGTATTTCAGAATTTGGAGAGTGTCACCAGGCAAAGACTGTGAGTGATATAACTCTGTACACAGAGAGAGGTGGATAAGAGAGAATGGAACCATGGAGAGTATATAAGATTTAATTAAATGAGGTGGAAAAACAATTATCATTTGAAACTTGCATTTCTGGGGTTGGAACTTTGTGCAAGAATAACATCCTCACTGGGTCTCCTCTAAAACCCAGAGGCAGACTCAGGATTCTGAAGGAACCTGCGTTGCTGCAATTTGTTGTCCACCTCTTAAAGAGAAAGTTAAACTGGCAAACAAGTTCATGGAGGAGAGGGCTATCAATGGCTGCTAGCCAAGATGCCTATGTTCTACCTCCACTGTTGGAGGCAGAATGCCTATGAATGCCAGGTGCTGGGAATCCCAGGTGGGGAGAGGGCTCTTGTGCTCGGGTCCTGCTTGCATCTGGGTGCCCACTGTCAGAACAGGATGCTGGACTAGATGGGCCATTGGCCTGATCCAGAAGGCTCATCTTACGTTCTAAATGACCACCCTGTCTTGAGACCACAGTCAACAACAAGTGGAAGGTGGGTGTTCTAGAAAAACTAGGAAACCACTGGGAACAACCTGTCCCATTGCTTAATTTCAAAAGAGTAACGCTGCAGAGTAAAAAATGAAGAAAAGCATCAAAGGATGCCAGGGAGAACAGTTTTTTTGTTTTTAAGTTTGCTAACCTCTACTCTTTGTCAATGGGATTTCCCCACCTCTTTCAAAACAGAAAAGTTCATCTCTCATTGTCTCCTTTCTGTCCTTTGGTAAGGATCCCCTGCCCCCATGCAAAGAAATCCAAAGACTCTCAGAATATACTCCCAACGGTTTCTAAAATGTCAGTCCTCAGACCTACTGGATCAAAACAGCATTAAGCATGCTGGCTCCAACTCAGAAGCTACAGCTGATGAGCAATTTATTCCTCCCAGGCATAATTCAGTATGGAAGTTCAAAAGAAAAATCATTTATTTACACCTCCCTCCCACAAGACTGGAAAGAGACAGAGAGTGCTAGCTTATGGTCTCCAGCTCAAAGTTGATTTCCGTTGCCACACTCGTGCGTGAGCTTTATTTGAAAATGTATAATGCTCTTTAATCTTGGTTATTGTAGGCCAAATGATTTATGCACACTAAATATGCGAAGTGAGTTCTCTTTCTCTTCTTATTGCATAGATGAACATATCATCTTAGAAACAACCAGTATGATTGGCTTTCTATTGCCCCATTCAAAGTGTTGGTGCTGACCTTTAAAGCCCTAAACGGCCTTGGTCCAGTATATCTGAAGGAGCGTCTCCTCCCCCATCGTTCTACCCGGACACTGAGGTCCAGCACTGAGGGCCTTCTGGCGGTTCCCTCACTGCGAGAAGCCAAGTTACAGGGAACCAGGCAGAGGGCCTTCGGTAGTGGCGCCTTCCCTGTGGAACACCCTCCCACCAGATGTCAAAGAGAACAACAACTACCAGGCTTTTAGAAGACATCTGAAGGCAGCCCTGTTTCGGGAAGCTTTTAATGTTTGATGTATTATAGTATTTTAATATTCTTTTGGAAGCCACCCAGAGTGGCCGGGGAAGCCCAGCCAGATGGGCGGGGTATAAATAATAAATTATTATTATTATTATTATTATTATTATTATTATTATTGGTGGGGATGTAGGGGAGGTGCACAGCTTGTTGTGTGGCAGTGGAAATCTCCCCTGGCTTTAGGAATGCTCCAGCAAAATTGGGGCCAAAATTGTAGCCAAGGGCTAAACTAGTTATGATGATGTTAACTGTGGTTAATTACAGTAGATGAGTGTAATGAATGTGAACATTTTTAAATTTTTTTGGTCATGTAAATATCAGCCACCAGGAAATTTGAACAACCTCAAGATCATGAGGAGTATTATTATTTTTTTAAAAAAATATTATTGTGGAGGAAAAGTGGGAAATAAATGCGATAAGAAACAAACAAACTCCCATCATCCCCAGCTAGCATGGACAAGGGTCAAGGAAGAGGGGAGTTATAGTCCAACAACATCTGAAAGGCATCACTATGACTGCATTGTGGACATCCTGCTTTAGTCTATCCATTTTCAAGGGCTATATACCACCCACTAGCAAGAGTGCTCCAGGCATATCTTTAGGACATGGGCCACAACAGAAAAGGCCCTGCCAATGCTTATTTTGTCTTGCTTGAAAAGATTTCTACCCTGTCTTTCCACTAGTAGCTCTTCAAGGGAACTAATTTGTTTTTGTATTATTTATTATTATTATTTATTGAATTTATCTACCACCCTATACCCAAAGGTCTTGTAGCTTTTCTCTAACAGCTATAAGGTATGCACAGGCGAGACTCACCTCAATATCTGATG